ACTGAAATGCATAAAAAAATGACAAAATGATACACTCTTTGCACACTGTCAAAGAATCATTGTACACAAAATCAACTTTGTTCAAATCAAAACAAAAAAACTAACCCATCTGGTGGATGATGGCACAAGCTTCCAAGAAAATTCTATTACAGTGAACCACATTATTTTAATGGATTTCTTCGCCAGTTAGGCTCTGAACCATTTGGTGGATTATTTTAACTTTTGGTTAAAATTTGACAGATGGAAAGTTATCGATTAACCCTGCTATCCGAGCATGGTTATTTCTGACAGACAAGAAGTTAAATTTTGACAACCGTGGCTCGAAAACCGGTCGAGCGACAGCACAGGGATTTTCGAACATAGAAAATAACTTTCGAAATGTCACTTTTAACCACGAGTTAAATTTAACTCGGCAAATGGTTCACAGCCTTAGTCGTCTGTCACTTCGTTTGTGCTTCACGCTAACTTGAAAGTACTCATTAATGAGTAAAAAAAGACCCATTTTGAAGAAAAGTGGCTTAACTCATTAATGATTAAACAATTTTACCCATTAATGAGTATCTGTTACCCATTAATGATTAAAAATTACTCATTAATGGGTAACAGATACTCATTAATGGGTAAAAAATTTACTCATATAATGAGTTAAGCCACTTTTCTTCAAAATGAGTCTTTTTCAACCATTAATGGGTACTTTCAAGTTAGCGTGTTCCAACTGGCTGCCGGTCATTCTATGCAGACGATGTCAAGATGTACGTGGTTGGTACGTGGTCACTGACTGCCTGCGGTTGCAGCACCTGATCGATAGTTTCGAAGAGTGGTGCTCTAGGAATTTTCTCACGTTGAGTGTTCAAAAATGCAATATCATCACTTTCCATCGCAAGCTAAAACCTATTGCATTCAATTATAGATCGATAACCAACCTCTGCAGCGTGTGGACAACGTTCGTGATCTAGGAATTACACTTGATTCTGCTTTGACATTTAAGCTACATTACACGGATAGTATAGCCAAAGCTAACAGGCAACTCGGATTCATCTTTAAGATCTCTGATGACTTTCGGGATCCTACCTGCCTGACAGCTCTATATTGTTCTCTAGTGCGATCGATCTTGGAATTTGGTGTAGTAGTATGGTATCCATATGAAACAGTTTGGATAGCGAGGATCGAGTCTGTTCAGAGGAAATTCGTTCGTTACGCTCTTCGCCACCTTCCTTGGTAGATCCTACGAACCTTCCACCCTACGAAGATCGTTGCCAACTACTGGGTATTGAAACTCTTGAACGTAGGCGGAAGATTAACCAGGCAATTTTTGCAGCAAAAGTGCTGATAAGCGAAATCGACTCTCCCGGGATTTTGGCTGAATTCGAAATCTATGCACCTGAACGAGTTCTACGATCGAGAAGTTTCCTGCATCTCGGACCCCGTGCAGCTAATTACGGACTACATGATCCAATACGGTTCATGGTCTGCCCGTTTCAATGAATTCTATGTTTTTTTTCGATTTCAACTGCACAGTGGAAACATTTCGTCAACGGATTCAACGTAGTCTGCGGGAAAGGTGACGATACGGTTCGACACATGCAACTGCTTTCAATCAGCAAATTGTTGCAAGACGGTGAGTAGCTGTCCATTTATGTACATCTGATGCATTTTGCTACCTGTTTCTAGAGTCGGTGTATAATGAGTCACGCCAAGAGTGAAGCCAAGTCTACTTATTGAACTGTCAAAACGGCTACCTATCGTGCAAAGTAAATAAACATTACGATGCTATGAAAGGTTCAAGAAAGGTATTGCAATAAAATATAAAATATAATCGAAGAAATGAGCATAAACACGCAGTGAGCGCTAAATTGTCTAGGGATACGCTCGGTAATGATTAGTAATGAGAATTTCTACTATTTTTTGTTAAGATAATTTGACAAAATCACTGATATAATGATTTACTACAGCCGCAATATTTTTTCTCTCGCTAGAAGTCATTTGAAGTTGTTGTAAAAGTCCTCTGTTGCCAAGTGAAAAGAATGGGAATCTTTCGAAAACCGTGATGCGAGTTCAACTGTTTTTCTCTTGGCGTGACTCATTATACACCGACTCTACCTGTTTCCTTTTTTGTTCCCGATCAACTCTGCGATGACGGCCTCGACTGATCCAAAGACAACTCCATGCCATAGGACGAGGTTATTTTTTTTTTTTTTTTATGATGAAGACCATAGCACAGACAAACAGACATAACACTGGCAATTTGTTCATCGAACACGCATTTAACGGTCAATTTAAATGTTTTTAGTTGGTAGCACCGCCACCTGTGGCGCACATAGTCAATAACCCTTGCGTTTGACGTTTACACACTACCGCCATCTGTTCAGCGTACTACCCATCACAGTATACTCAACAGATGGCGGTAGTGTTTTAGTGACGATGTTTTATATTGAAAAATATTCAATGTGTTATGTCTGTTTGTCTGTGACCATAGTATTATCACAGACAAACAGACATAACACATTGAATATTTCTCACTGTAAAACATCGTCGCTTAAACATTACCACCATCTGTTGAGTACACTGTGGTGGGTAGTACGCTGAACAGATGGCGGTAGTGTGTAAACGTCAAACGCAAGGGAATTGACTATGCGTGCCACAGGTGGCGGTACTACCAACTACGATACTTTTAAATTGACCGTTAAATGCTTGTTCGATGAACAACTTGCGAGTGTTATGTCTGTTTGTCTGTGGTATTATTATTATTATTCGGTGTTTATTTTTATAATTGATGTGTTTTTCTGTCCTTTGTATATTGTTCCTTGTATTTTGAAAAGATATGGGGTTTTTTACGCCTACACAGCAAAAAAAAATGTAAACTCGATTAATGTAATTCAAGCTGATGTATGAAATAATGATGTAATAGCAAAAAGCAGATACAATATTACATCAATAGATGTAATTTTGTTCGCAAAATCGATGTACATCGTACAACGTCATATTACACAACCGATGGATTAACCTGGTTGCAGCAGTTTGGATGTAATATTCAACAACTTTTTTTTCTGTGTATTTGCGCAAATAGGCTTTTCCCTATCAATCTTCATTTAGACAACAAAAGTCCGATGAAGAGAATAATAAATAAATAAATAAATGTAATCAGAGTTGATAATAGAAGAGTTACGCACTAATGTCGATCAATGGGCATTATTTTTTTTAAATATTGGCAACCTTTGTTTTTGTTTACTCCTCGGATGACTTCACCTGGGTTGTGAAAGTTTCCTCTATTGTCTTGATTTGTGCAAACAATACTTCCCCACGCAACAGAGTCCGTTTGTCTACTAAGCTCGATATAGGTAGATTTTGGTTTCAGTCTGCGTAAATCTTCTATTATCAACTCTGCTATTTACGATTACTTTTTCAAAGGGACGTATCAGTGCATTTGATCGTCGATTTGGCGTAACTAGTAGCTCGCCCACGCATGCTAACACTACCATCAGATAGGGGAAATTTCCCCTTCCTGCTTGTGGTGTTAGTAAGCGTGTGCGAGTCAAAAGTTATTATAAGTCGTTTGCTGGCCCCCTAATGTTACTTAAGTCAAAGTGTATTTACCAGGATATTCGGAAGAATTATCAATCACGTCTCCTTAAGTACAGCCCCTTCATCATTTTAAGACGAAATCATCTTAGCAACAAACAGTTCGATTTATTCACTTTAATAATAAGAGAGCGAAACGACGAACGTACACTTTTCACGGGTTTATCTGCGCTGTTACTTAAGACAAACGGCATCTCCATAGAAATCGGGTGACTTAAGTAGGTAACATTGAACATATTTTGATCGGAAGGTGATTACGTCAAAAAGCAATTTGACTGGTAAATGAATTTAAAAATGGGATGTGATCCTATATTCGGACAGTATAAGTGTAATAAGCAGGAGCATCGATTGACACTGATATCTCGAATTTGTTTACCTTTGTTACTTTCGACGTAATGAAAATTTGCTCTTGAATTGTTCTGTTTTGTGTCCTTTTTTTTCCTTGATTTGTTTTCCGTGCTGAGCACCAATGCTACCAACGCCAGGAAGGCAGGGCAGTTCCCACACACCTGGACCCTACCACCTATCGACCCATCATACCCATAAACCGGGGACCAACGGCTTAACTTCCCTCCTCGTGATCGCCTCAGAACAACCCGACGGCGCCGACTGGGATTGAACCCAGACCTGCTGGGGTGAGAGGTAATCACGAAAAGGAATTTAACAGGACATGAAAATGTTACGTTAATGACGGCAGTAAATAATGCAAGCATTCTTCCTATTCAGCGAGTCGTGTGACGACTTTTTTTTACGAGAAATTTGAAATAAAATCCGTGCCAAATCCGCGCGAACTTTAAATCAAAATCGCATCAAATCCACGCGAATTTTAAATTAAAAACGCGCCAATCCGCACTATAACGAATCTGAGGTAAGTAACATCGCGTCAGAACAAAATATGCACCCATATTGTTGTTTTTGTTCGAACAATACAAAAAATAATGATAAGCAAATCCGCGTTGTCGTAACAACCCTGTGTGAAACTCTGTAACTAGTTAGGTGACTGTCCATTTGATTTGCACTGAGAGTAACCTCACAAGACGAACCACCACATTAGTGACGGAGAATCACGACTCGCAAAATAGGGAGGATTGACACCGAAGTTCAATCGAAATCGGCTCCATCGTGATCAAAATTTGAATACAAAAAAGATGGTCACCCTACCGTTGGATAGATGTCGAATTGGATTCTTCACAGGGTTCGAAAATTTGCGATCCTCTACAACCGACGTGGATATACGGAGATTTTCTTTCAGTTCCGTGCAACTCAAACTAATCACCAGTGTTTTTCAGCAGAATCTCCACTTCCAGACTTCACAGTTTATTCTTTAGCGATTAATCCACGGGATCCAGCGACAGACATCACTTTCACCGTTCATTAGACACTCATACTGTTTCAGACAAAAAAAATTTAAATCGCCTACATTTGTCGTCTGCACCTTTATAACAACACTTCCCCGATTCCGAGGAAGTCAATTATCCGATGAGACTGGAAATCTCGGAACAGCAGCGAAGCCAGGAAGCAAACATTCTCCACGATAGATCGATAAGATGTAAACAGAGAATCGTGGTATAACCGGTCCGCGTCCGAAGCTTACAGCTTCAGCTTGGTACGTCTCCAGTGACGGCGCTTGGCGTTGTAGCTGCAGGGATCGAAATTAAAAAAAAAAACCGCTCATTAGAACTCGGAGATTTCCTACGTATATAGGTAACAATCGAACAAACTTACCGGATCGTGTTACCAGTGCGCATTCTGATCCATTGTGGAATGGGTCTGTTTTGCTTCAGCTTTTTGGCCAGCTTCTGCTTAATCCGGAAAGTCTTGTGGGCCGACTGCAACGGGAAACGAAAGGCATTGTTAGTTAGTACACTTTTTCAACTACGACAAGCGATTTGCTCGCCCGAAACCGGTAGAAAATTCAATGTTTTTACGCACCATCTCGGTCAAATGTGTTCACCTCAGTGCAATTTGACGGAAAAGAGATCGTCAGCGGCTTGTCGGAAGTTGACGAACGCAAACTTGTGAGGTTTTTGACAGGTGAGGGGTTCAGGCGGAAACGCAACATTTTGGCGACGAGGGCGCTCTCTTTTGGTGAGCGAAGATTAGTTTTTGGTCGGGCTTCCAACAGGTGTCGCTGGAAAATGTAGAAAGGAGGTGCTGAGGTGCAGCCCTGCTGTAAGTACTTCCCAACTAAAATTAATAATAAAGCATAAATTCTATGCTCAGATGACAGCAGTGGGTTTGTTTACAAAGAATTTAAACTATCTGGCCACACTGTGTCATGGGTGCTTTCATAACAGAGTCGTGTGTTTCAGTGAAAAATTAAAATACTAATTTCTAAGCCCATTTAAGTAGGGTTTGTCGCCAAAATGTTGAAGCAAGTGCTAAAATCAGGTTCCACTTATCGAACGTTGCTGACTATTCAGAGGAACTTCCTCTCGGAGGCGTATTTATGCAGGGAAGCATGGCAAGCAAGGCTCAGCACACCGGTGCTGTCGAAGGTGAACCATGAAGCACTCTACTACGAGCTGGAACAAAAATTCCAACAGAAGAATAAGGTTTCGGCCATCGATATCGATATCTATGCCAACAAGCTGGTGGACGATTCGCATATCGACGAGGTGGCCGATTTGATGTACAAATTCCGCCTGACGGAAGAAGCATCGAACATTTTGCACTCGACACAACATGCCGTCGCCCGGAACTACATCGAGCACAGTCACTATGCGGAGTTGATTGAAATGCTGGACAACCGGATCGGTTACGGTGTATTTTTGGACGATTTTACGGCAAATCTAGCACTGGATCGGTTGGTAACGACGAACGAGTTCAAATGGGCAGCACGGTTCGCCACCTTGCTGGGACTGCAGGAGGATTTCAGCAATCCCATTACGCGTTCCCTGGCCACGTACGGATGCTATCGATACGTCAAGGGTGATGAGATTGACCATTTTGATGATTTGATTCCACCGCCGCCGGCCGATCCAGCGGAGGAGAAGAAAAAGAAAAAGAACGAGGTTAAGGTTCGGGTCAAGTTCCTTCGGAATGAGTACTTCGATGATCACTTCGACCTGAGGGATTCGAAGCTGCTGCTCGGGAAGACTTTCTGTACTTTGGGATTGAATTGGGGAACCGGAGTGGTGGGAGATAGCTGCAAATTGCTTGGTTTGGTGCTACATCAGAAGTGGACCAAGGCGGTGGAGTATACGTGTGGCAAAGGGTTAGAAATCAACGGAGACGTTGTGAAGCTGGTGCGGACGTTCCTGGAGAAAGTGGAGAACAAGGAGGACGAGGATTATACTCGACTGGTGGAGGCAGTTGGGAAGATTGAATCGAGCGTGAAGGTGAACAACGACAGCTTCGAAAAGCTTCTGCTCGGTGAGGTCAATAAGAGTGTAGCCGATAACGAGCAGCGACAGATCACGGAACAGGTCAAGGTGCGGACGGGGTAAAGTAGTGTTGAATTTCGTGTATTGATCAACCTTTAATTTTCACAGATCTACAGCGACTGGTGCGAGGTACGGCAGCAGCGTCTTGAAGAGGAACTGGCTCGGCTGCAGCGAGCTAAACGCATCCAGGACGTGGAACGGGTGGCGAGGGAAATGGAACAGGAAGAACAGAAGTTGTGGTTCTTTGAAAACGAGGACAAGATCGACCTGCAAATCGACAGCAAAAAGGTGTTCTATCCGAAACGCTGGTTCGGTAAAAAGAAGAAGCCACGTGTCGTGGACGAAGGCTACATTCCGCCGGAGGTTCGTCAGCGACAGGAACAGCAGTAAACGATGGATGGGGCCGTTCTTTCAATAGTATAAATCAAACCAGCAAAAGTTGAATAAAGCTTTCCATGGGCACTTTAGTGTGTTCTCTTCTCTTTTGAGTATCGTCTTAATCAATTTTGTGTGGACAGAAGCTGATGCTACATCTTTCTTTGCCTTCCTTAACTCTTAACATTCGTTCCTAAAATATTCCGTTAGTCTTGCGTGTGGATAATTAAAAAAAATGATCAGTTTTACAAATTTAAACAAACTTACTCGCTTGCCCTAATGTTCCGTCAACCATCAACCGGCGTATGCTCTCCTCAAGCCGTTGACTTTCGCTCTGCATCTCGGTCAGGTCGTGCGTAATCTGTCCGAGATTGGCAGCTGTGTTCCGGGTTTTCTCGCTTTCGATCTGATCCTCTAGATCGCGCAACTCACGCTTGATGGCACCGGTGTCCTGCACCAGCTTGATGAGCTCCTCGCAGTCCGAATGGAGCGTAACAAGCAGCTTATAGGCCCGCTTAGAGTGTTCGTCCTTCTTGGCATTGCGGAATATCAAATCATCCGTCACGGTAAATTGTCGGTCCAGCTGGCCGGTGATGGTGTTTAGCTCTTTCTGTAGTGTGCGCGTGTCCTGCAGGATTTTGTCGATGCCATTCTTCTGCTTGCGAATGTTACCAATGATCTCCAGAATCCGACTGGTGTAGGCCGTCCGGCTGATAGTTTTGTTCAGCTTCTCGAATTCCTTCTGTAGACGGACATGCATGGCACCCTTGGTTTGCAAATCGACGACCACTTCCTCGCACTTTTGTCGGGTAGATTCGATTTGGTCTAGAACTTGCTGGGATTTGGACTGTGGAATGAAAAAGGATTTTTATAAGTTTTACAACAAATCAAACAACCAGCTCACCAATTTATCGGAATTCTTCACGCGATGCGCTTCCAGTGTCTCAACGAGCGGAGTCCGATGGGCATCCCACTGATCCTGCAGCTTCTTCATCCGTTCTCCCCCGGCAGCAATGATCGCCTCCAGCTTCTTCACGTTCACCTCCGGATCTTCGAGCAAAATATGCGTTCGTTCCTTGATCTTCTTCTCCTCTTTCAATTTAACAATTGCTCTCCGATAGACCTCCATCGACTCTCCCAGCTCAGTTCGACTACCGTGCACAGCCGCATTTTCCTCAACGTTCTGCTCGATCTCCTCCCGCAGTGCATCTATATCGTCCTGGAGCGACTCTAACGGGGTCTTGCCCGGTTTCGACTCAACCGAAACCTGCTCCAAAATCACTTTCTGAACCACCGCACCCAATGCACCACTAGGTTCAACCTTCCGCTGATTTGACACACTATTTGAAAAGTACTCTAGTAACTTTTCATTCGACGAAGGTAGCCTAAACTGGCGATCTACCTCATCAATGGCACCGCCGGTCGCGTTCGATTTCATTCCTCCATCGTTGGCAACTATCAACGACGGAATCAAACTACCCTCATCGAGGCCGTCCAAATTTCTACGGGACCAAAACTCTTTGACTTCTGCAGCGACATCGGCCTGGGTAATGAATGGAACGCTAATCTTCTTGGGAACGAACCGACGGAATGCTATTTGTGCTTGCGAATCGCTGACTCCACCATCCCGATTACCTTCCAGTAATCCCATTCGGCAGAACTCTGGCATCCAGGGTGCGTGCAGTTGGCTCTGCAAGGTACTCAAAATTCGATTCTCCAACTCAGTGGCACTGTCCAGCGGTTGTCCACTACCCGCAGCTTTATCGGCCGAATCCTTCGGAAGCTTTTCAACCAAAAACATCAACACCCGACGAACTTCCGCCACATTCGAGTACAGAAACGTCTGGTAGCCAATGTCTCGCCGGTAGCCTATCGTCTAAAAAAATCAGGCTTTCAATCACAACGAACAAACCATCGCCCCCTGAACAAATTATACCCGACATGCTTCCGCGAGGCTAGCAGTGACGGTGAACCTCTGCGCCATTCCGGGCGGTAACGATCGAGGGAGATCCAGACTGGGGTCGATCAGCGTAATACATTTCGATACAATTTGAACCAACAGCGACGGGCTGATGTCTTCCAAGCTCGTGACTTCTTCATCGAGATTGCTTGAATAGATATGAGAATTAAAAAGCTTAATTATTTACTACAGATGAAAGACCGCTATGCAACAAACCATTCAATTTGCCGCAACGAGTGAAGAATGATATTGTCAATCTCATCCATGGTTCCGGTTGCAAATGGAAACCTTACAAGTCACCGATGCCTGTGGAGTTGTTCAATTGATTAATCAGTCAGTGCTAGCGAGTGCTTGTTTGTCAAGAAGTGGGACGTTTCAGTTTCCTCACTCACGTATACGCATAGGTATTTGCCTCTTTTCTTTACTTTCTCAACTCTGCAGAACCCACAAACCGACGGATTAATATGAGTGTAAACGGAGCTGCTGCTAGATGATAACGAGCAACAACAGCAGGACGTCCAAACGGACCGACACGAACGTTGCACTTTTCGTAGTTCACTAAGCACTCACTCAAACCACCATCAGCGGAAAATTAAATAAAAATTGCTTATCAAATCGGCGAGCAAACAGCTACTCGGTTGTAAAAATAATAATGTTAATAATTTATTTCGTCTTCTGACAGATTGTGAAATTTTTGGTCAACATACACACGAACCAATACATGCATGCGAAAATTTATGCTTTATTTACTTTGGTCGGGTAAAAATTAAATGCTGGCTGCAGGGATGGTGTGGGTGCACGGCCAATGAGAATAACTCAAAAAGAGTCACTTTTACCCAGTTGCTTGGTCAAATTTCTAAAAATTGAGGTTTTCTCTCGGTTTACTCAGCGCCTGAGCGATAAAGAACTTTCATGCTTGTTTCGAAACAAAAATAATCTATTTTAATTTCAACACTATCCATTTGACAGTAGTACAATTCATTTCAAAAGTTTATACTTTTAACGGTAGTGTGTGCGCTACTTTTGATTTAACAGTTAGATGAATTTTGTTTTGAAAGCAAACCGCTTTCTACCAAAAAGAACCAACGCAAACTTTTAATGCTACCAACCAGGGGGTAAGTCACTCTGCCACCTTGTGTTAACACCCACAAAAACACACTCCAAACACCTTGCCACCCAGGCAGTCTCCACATAACAGATAGTTTTTCATCAATCCTGGCACCACTTCCAAGAATGTTAACATATTATGTTGTTTATAATAGACCAATCCATGATCTGATTTTATCATTCATTTTTGACAGTATGATCTGCTTTTTATTGATCTGAACCTCTCAAATGAGGAAACAAACCAAACTAATCTGCCAAATTATTTAGAACGCTTGGTTTATTTATGTGACCCAGGATATCAGCGATTTTTTGCTGTAGGTTTTTATATAGCTTATTACCCTACTTACCGTGCATTTTAATCTCTATTCTGCGGTTATTTCCTGGGTTGTTTTTAAAATTTGTAAATTTATTTTCGTGATATTATTACAGTTCATCATGGTAAAGGCGCAGCTACAAAGCAAGACCATGCTGGAGGTGGCTGGGTTCAATTCCCGGTCCGGTCTAGGAATTTTTCGGGTTGGAAAATTTCTCGACTTCCCTGGGCATAGAAGTATGATTGGACTTGCCACACAATTATACCAATGCAAAAATGGTACAGGCATCGAAAGCTCTCAATTAATAACTGTGGAAGTGAATCTAGAACACTAAGTTGAGAGCACGCAATAAGCTAATATGCGATATGCAATAAGCTTGAAATGCGAAGAAGAAGAAGAAGAAGAAGAAGAAGAAGGGTTGCTTCGTCTCACTTTGCTACAAACATATTTTTCTGAGGTATAGAATAGAAATGCCTGTAACATACAAGAAGAAGTTGAAAAATGTGTTTCACCCATAAAACCTGTCAATTTCACTTTCAGAGCGTCACAATCAGCGCAACCACTTCGTGTAACTTACAAGTACTAATTATCATTACAACATCTAATAAATTCATAATTCAAAGAAAAAATTTATAGCAAGTGAGTGGAAGCAACCCTGCTGGGAAGAAAAAAAAATCAGGTCATATACTTTTGTCTTGTACTGTTTAAGCATATCGTTGGAAATCATATTTATATATTAAATTATTATTCTATTTTCACAACTGTTTAGTTTCTGTCGAATTTTTGAAGAATAATCCTGAGGACCCTCTCGAGGACATCCCTGAGGACATCATTGAGTACTGTCCTGAGGACAACTCAGACGGTATCTGAAGATATACCCAGCTATAGCTATGAGCACATCGATAAGGACCCTGCTAAGGACATGGCTACAGACAACGATGCTCTTGCCCAAGGTAATAATAAAATAAATATATTTGGAAATAAATTGTTCCTGATGCATGTGGGCGTCTATAGTGGAATACCTGTATACAGAAGAGAGAATAATTAGTTAAAAATGGAAATTTTTCTATTCTCGCAACTTGTTAGTTTCTATCGAATTTTTGGACAGTAATCCTGAGGATAATCCTCTGGACGAAGACATCCTAGAGTACAGCCCTGAGGACAAATATGACGATATCTCTGAAGACAGACCCAGACCCAGACTCGTGCCCGTAGAGAACTACCAGTCTTATACACTTAGTACGGGGCGAAGTTTACCAGCTGTGAGCTTTCATTCGCGAGTAATCGACGTCTAAAGCCATTGTTTACAAAAGCAATTCGGCCTTTTTGAAATGTTCACACCGCATTACAAATTTAATGCGGCATGAAATCGCCAATTCAAACTCATCCATCTTCACAAAATAGTTGTTCTCAAGGGAAGCATTGAACCAACTTCCTCCAACCAGTAGGATCCACTTTTTATCCCACTCACGGATTTTCTTTCTCAATGAATCACGAAGAATGTTCACATGGTTTCTTACGGATCTTCATCATTTTTACTCCCTAAAAAAGAGTGGAATTAACAGTACATGAACGGCGGCTCCTGGTTTACTGATAGTAAGTATCCGGTCGGCGGAAAGAGAACAGCTTCCTGTAGCGCTTGTGGTGGTATCTTTGCGCCAGTGGGAAGCGGATCTTCGAGTCGTGGAACTGCTTGATGTGAGCACGACGGGTCTTGGAGGCCTCAACCGATTCGACCTTGATGATCTGTTGGGAAAACATTCGCATCAGTGATTCTTTCCGGGTCAATACTACAAAAAAGCAACTCACCTGAATGGAGTGGGCACGGGTACGGTGGCGCGAAGCCATATCGCTATAGCACTGCGTGACAGCACCGCCAACGGTCAGATCACGATTCTCGCGGTTCATGTTGTGGGTACCGGAACGGGAATCGTAGCGCAGCCAGATGCCGAAGTTCTTCACGCACAGCGGAGTTTTCTCCAGGATACGCTTGACCGAGGCAATCTCACGGGTGGCCTTCTTGAACTTACGCAGCTGCCGCAGGAGTACCAGAAACGGGACTTGGCCACGATCTGGTCCGGTGCGAAGATGTGCATCAATTCCGCCATGTATCACGCACAGACTGTCGTTTGCTTATTGGATTTTACAGGATTTTACCATAGGAGTAAAGAGCTATAGCTGGTATACAGTCACCGTCAACGCCAATAAACAACGACGATCGCAGGGGGATCTGTCATTTTCAGCGATGTGGAAGTCATGGTTGCCAGTAAACATTGTATGTTGCCGCTTGACGTTTTGACAGCTCATTCGACACAGAAACACCCTGAAACACCCAAAAACACACAAGAAACACAATCAGCACAGTCACAAGGTGGCAGAGTGACTTACCCCCTGCTACCAACGCTTTAATTTTTTTAATTTATCGATTTATTTTTTGAGTGTACGCAATTTAAGCAACTGCTTCCCCGGCAAAAGGCTAGCTTTGCTTTATGAAGCAATTCTCGCCTAACTTTTCAAAAGGTCCTAAGTAACAAATGTAAACAAATCGAGTTTATAAATGCACATTGTAACATTTGTACCTAAGAACATTATGCACACACACACACATTCAGATTAATGTCAATTGAATTGAGAAAATTCTAAATGAACAAAACGTCTGAAGTCCAAATTTGCATTAACGATGTTTCACTGTTACATAAGACGTTTGACTATGTTCATCAAGACAAACGTTTGAATTTTCAGAAAAAAAACCAAAACAATGCAGATCTGTACTTCGGTCATTTGTGTTTATACGAGTAAAACGTCTAAAATGTTCAAACAAACCAAAACAATGTGATTGTGCATATCGGAATTTTCATGTCAAGCATTTTTCTACTATTTCCGCGTGGGGTGGTGGGGGGTGTTTGACAATTATCCACGGCCCATACAAATTTTGAAATTTTAATATGGACAATTGTCTACGCATGGGGAGGGAGGCGGGGTCAAGAATACGGAAAAGCTGTCTACGTAGTTAATGAACAGCCCCTAAACTAACACTGTTATCAAATAAAAAGCAGCTCACGCGACCACCAACGATCGACCAAAACAATCTGTGGGCAGTGTTGCGATATACCGTTGAAAAAAAGTTGATGCATTGTCCAATACTCATATTGTTCGTTTAACTCGTATAACTTAAATTATGTACTCATAATGCTTAAAAACAAACAAATAATGTTGAACACATAAATGGCCTATGTAACTGTGATTATAACAAAACGTCCTGGAAATCCTATGTATGAGTGCTCATTGCAAAACAGCCTATATTACGTGATATAGGCTAGAATGTGAACGGGGTATTAATCATGGCATTCAAGCGTGACTCATATATTATATTTTTAATCCTTTTTGAATGCTTGTTTCAGATTAATTTTGAATGTTGACTATTCGGGACCAACCCAACAGTTGAGAAGCTGTACAATCCGTTTTGATGCATGAGAATGGCTCGATCAATGTGGAATTGGTGAATATCAAGATCGAAGGCGACGATCCGATATCCATACCACTGGGATCGGCTTCCGTTGCACCACTACCACCAGACATTTCAACGAAGCATACAATTAATAGCGTTTCGTGGGTCAACCAAGATGAAGATTTAGCCGTACCTACCGACAAAACATTGTTGACTTTTCTAACCATTTTAAATTTAATATGGAAGCCTAATAAAGCTGGGAGCTCGGCTGGGAGTAACCGGAAGATTTTTTTCATTAACAGTTAATCATTAAAAGTTCTCATCACAACTAAATTATAAAACATTTTATTCTTTACTGGTAGTAATCATTTTTACCCAACTTTAGAACCTCTCTCGTTTAACTTCCTCCGAAATTGTTTCAGATGGTCACCATCCTTGGCATCTTCACGTAGGTGTTCCGCTGCTTTCTTGTCCATCTTGTTTCACTATGTCGATTTATTTTACATTTTTAGTGGCGATGAGAATTCGTTCCAAATTGATTAGGTTCTAGGAACGAGTTCATCTGCACAATGTTGCACACCATCTAGAAAATAATATATTCCATTAGCAATAATCCTAAGTTATGAGATCTAACACTTACCTGCTAGATTCCCAAAATATAACCTGACAATGCTCCTATCTCTATACAGTTCAAACAAACAGCCGTACGCCCGTAAAGAGCAACTCAGGGAAAGCGAAGCCAAACGC